TCAGATGCCTGTCAGCCAAAGTACTCTCGTTGGACTCGTTAGGAATTATTGAAGACACAACTGCGCTTGCGCATACGCACATGATGCTCACAAAACCTGCCATAATATTGAATTTATTGTGCACACGCAGGGCCACTACTTCCCCCAAAATAAGTACACACTTGACATATTATAACGTACGTCCAAGTTTGTCATATTTTATCATTTGTTTTTATTTATTTCAGTTTATTACCGACTAGACACGCAGAATGGGGATGTCCTTGTGGATGACGCCAACGCCCTGGTGGATTTGTTGAACGACCCAGCACTTAGTTTAAAGCTGGACGTGTACGTGAAATGCGAGAACTGGCTTGATAGATGGTTCCCCTGTCAGGAATAGACAGTGGGTCATATTTTCGAATGTCATCCGAGGGCGCACGTACTAGGTTCATTCCCAGATATTCGACCATAAGTTTCAGAATACATGTATAACAAAATCCAATAACAATCATAGCTTTAAAGGGCGGCCGACCACTGCCCTTCAAGTAAGGTAATCCCGTGTGTGTTTGACGTCATTGCATTTACAAGACGGCATTTTGTAACGGACCATGTGTGGGTTTTAGTGTCACGTGATATTGTGTTCCAAGTAAGTTATCAAATTCACTTTCCGAGTCGTTCGCCGCAAGTCGTGTAATACTAAGGCAGACTAAAATCGTCCTTCCAAAATATATGTTAAACCATAAATTGTCAACTAACTGTTTTAATTGATGTGACCGGGCAAGAGAAGAACAATTTAAACGTGTGCATCGGTCGAAGAAAATATCGTTCCCGTCAAACCCAGCAATCACACCGCCTGAAGTGTTGACCTCGTGACACAAACCATGGGTCAAAACGAGTAATTTACATAGTAACATATGACTTGTATGAGCGTGAAGAAGTCAATGACATGCAAAAAACGTTTCAGATATTTTACGTGTTTTTGTTTTGTGTACATATGATTGTTTTTAAATAAACTAAAGAAACGTTTGATATCCCTTTGTCATTCTTAAGTCATTATTTTAGTACAAAACTACAAAGAACTGTAGATATGACAAAATGCACCCAGGTTGGAAGCATCTTTTTGGTGAGAACAATTGTAAAAAACCCATATACCTCTCCAGTCAAAGCTATAACGCACAGAATCAATCGTGCGTGTTGGTGTTTGTTAAAGCGGGAGGGTCGTCACCTGCGCACGCGCGGGAATTGAGTCCCAACC